TAGATGAATCTGGCCAACATTTCATATTGAATTTGTACAATCACTGATTCTTTATGAAGCCAGCAACGTGCTCGATTTTCTATACAGATGGGAATACCCAATACGGTATTAAAACCAATATTTGTTCGTCAGATAATAAAAAGAATTTTTTCTGCAGATTGCCTGATGCGATAAAAATTACGAAAAAAAATGCTTAAACGACCGTGAAAGCATATCTTTAATTCAATTAAACACGATGAGTTTTAGTTTTGAAACAAAATTATAAAGACTAGGAATATTTAGCCAGGGTATATCGGGTTTGGGCACAATTTTAAAATTATTTTATGAAAGATAAACAGATTGACCTTTTACATTTTCAAGTGATCCTCTGTATGGTAAATTACAAGATCTATGAGCATGATAAGTATTATGGGTAGTGGCATATATAAAATAATAAATACGACTCTCATAAATGGTAAATGCTGTCTCTTTTAGAATACAAATCGAGCCATAAATAAAACACCACAGTTTCCATAGAACAATAAATAACAATAAAACTTTATTGTGTGTTTGACCTCTCCACATTTAAAATCGAATAAAAAAAACCTAATTGCAGAAAAAACTGTTATATTGCTGTTTTAAAACCTATTATCACGCTATAGTTATTAATTAATGTTTTATTGATATTTAATCGGTGTTTCATTGTTATTTCGCATCAAAATAGAATATTTACGACTCGTAGTTGGGCTTCACTTGATAAAATTGTTTCATTTATTTTCAATGACATTTCTTTTTTGACGTCAGATATGTTTTGCAATTAAACACCGCGATCCCTCTGTCAACCATATGTTTTTATTTCTTTTTATGGTCAGTGACACGAATTAAACACCATTGTGAATTATGTTAATTGATTTGTTAAATCGATTCTCACGTTCCCCGTCGTAAATTAAAATTTATTGCGTTTATTCAAATTGTAATCAAAATGTTATGCCGAAAAAAAAACTACACAAAATATAATGAACTTCCTAATATAACGGTAATTTATTGATATTAATATTTAAATTAAGACTGAGAACATTTAAAAATGTCCGATTATGATAAAACGAGTTGTAAAAATAACATAAATAACGTGAAAATTAGACAAGTAATAACAGCGTTTGTAATTTTTTAATTTACGTTAAAACATCAAGCCACAGACGTGTGTATTTAACTGTGAATAAAATTCATTTTGAATTATTTATTTTTTAAATTGATTGTAATAAATAAATATACTAATACAGGGTGATTTTTTTTACCGGCCATTAGAAGTATCTTGAGAAAGAAAAAACATATTGATCTGAAAATTTGGCTGTGGGCATAAACGGCTAGAACCTATTTAGTGAAAATATTTTCAAAATTGTGGCATTTCCGGGTATACTGGAAGTTGACCTTAACTTCCGGTATTTTAAATGGAATGACTCTATTTTTATGTTTATTATTATTTTTTTTTGATAATACCTCAGAGGTTCTTTTATTAAAGGTTTCCTATGCTTAAAATTAATATTTTTCGAGATATAATTTTTTTTTTCGAAAATTTTAGCAGAAAAGGTTCAAAATATAAAAATTAATATCTCATAAACGGTTAACAGTAACGTTGAAATTTGTATGCAGGTAAGATAGAATATTGAGGTAGTAGTAGTAGTAGTAGTAGTAGCTACTTATTTTACTAGGCAAGTAGGCCACAATGGGCCCTTTTTACCTAGGGACCTACAGTTTAGCGTGGACTCCGAACCACGGTCCTCGACTGTCAACTAACCCACCGCCTGGGCCTGCCCGCCTGCACCGCTAGCAGAGTGGCAAACCTCTTGGGTAGGTCTCTTCGACCCTCCACCCGGGCTTGCCTCTCCGCCTGCATCAGGCTAGCGGCCTTCCCGGGATTATCTGTTGACAGCCTACTGACTGTTAGATGAGTTATCGTTCATCCATCCAATTGCCGGACTCGATCAGTGCTGCTTAACTTCACTGATCGAATATCGGAAATTAAACGGATGTCCATACCTCATCCCCGAATATTGAGGTAACCTAACGTGTATAAAAAAATTCAAATTTTCCTACAACAAAGATTCTAGATGACTCATCTGTCAAGTACACAAAAATAGCAAAAAGTCATTTTTCTTTAAATAGCATGCTACCTATAGCATTTTAAATAGCATGCTATAATTTTTTTTTACATTATCGATGAAAACTGTAGAAAGCATGGGTCTTTTAATAGGTAGACTTTGACTTAATAACAAAATTGTTGACAAAACAAAATATTCAACAAAAATTTATCCAAATTCGTTTCGTTCAGCACCTGCCGATTTGGGTGTTTCCTATAGTTCCACATAGAACATACTAAAGAAACAAACTCCATAATTATAAATTCACTACTGTCCAAGAGCTTTATTCTCATGACCCAGCTAGCAGACAGAATTTTGCGAAACAGTATTGATTCGAATGCAAGATCCTCAATTTTTGGAAAAATTAATTTGGACAGACGAGGCAAAATTTTCCAAGGAAGGTATTTTTAATCGAAGACATTTGCATTATTGGAGCAACCAAAATCCACATGCTGGGCGACAGACAAATTTTCAATACACCTTCTATTTTAATGTGTTTTGTTTGCTAATGAAAAATAGGATCTGCTACTACATTTATTTTATGATTTAAATTTAGATGGTCGAAAATATTTGGATATTTTAAGAACCGCAGTCAGTAATTTTTTGGACAATTTACCGCTAAACCAATATTTTTCATGCTGGTACCAACTCGATGGAGCTCCAGCTCATTGTAGTGGACCAGTCAGTAACGAGCTTACTCAGATGTTTGAAGACAGATGGATAAGATGGGTCCATGTGTTGGCCTGCGAGATCTTCCGAACTGACACCGTTGAATTTTTATCTCTGGGATCGTATAAAAGATGAAGTTTATCGATCCCCGGTCAATAATAAACAAGAACTTTTGGATAGGGTCACTATAGCATTTGAAGCTTTAGATCCGAATGAAATTTATCGTGCTACTATACGTGCTACAGTTAAAATAATTCTTTTGTGTTTGGAAGTTAACGGACAAGATTTTGAACAACCAATTTAATATTTTAACTTATTGTTTTTTTAGCTATTTTTTAAAAATAATTTAATAAATTGTTTAATGTTGAGTAAATATTTGTCATTTTCTTAATAATTCCGATCTATCATATTTTTTAGAAATAGTTTTGTCACTAATGCTGATATCAAAGCATTGCCAGAGGCTACTAGATGCTAACGCTTTTAAATTTTCATGGATAATTTAAAAATAACCTGGAATATCTAAAAAATTATACATTTTGGGTATAGGGAGACCATACATCGTCAAAGGCGCATTTTCCTTCTCCGTCGACTAGTGTGTTTAAATAGGTAGCATGCTATTAAAAAAAAATTGTGTACTTGACAGATGGCGTCATTTACAAACTTTGTTGTAAGAAAAATTGAAATTTTTTTTAAACGATAGGTAACCTGAATACTCTCTCTTACCTGCATACAAATTTCAACGTCTTACTGTTAACCGCTAATGATATATTAATTTTTATGTTATGTACCTTTTCTGCTAAAATTAGGGAAAAAAATTATATCTGGAAAAATTTTTATTTTAGGCATAGGGAACTTTTAATAACAAAACTTCAGAATCAAAAAAAAAAAATAAAAATAGGGTCATTCCATTTACAATAACGAAGTTGTGGTCAACTTCCGGTATACCCGGAAATACCACCATTTTGAAAATATTTTCATTAGATATATCCTGGCCGTTTATGCCCACAGCCAAATTTTCAGATCAATATGTTTTTCTTTCTCAAGATACTTCTAATGGCTGGTCAAAAAATATCACCCTAAACAGAGTATAGGCTCAGTGGTGTGAGAGACAGCGACGCGTGCTTCCACCTAAACCTTCCGAGTTCAAAATCAGGCAGGACTAACACGAGGAGGGTCAGACGTTCAACTCTCCGATTCGAACGAAACTTCGTGAGCTTGCAGTCCTCAATACAAACAACTATTTGTCCAAATAATAGGTCGCGCGTTTCCGAAAAACAAGCCTCTGAACATTCAATATTCAAGGCTGTGGAATATTCAGTCCTCCACGAGCCACAAGTAGAGCAGTGATCAAGGTGCTAGACTCCGATTCCCGACCAATGCATTTTCTTCTTTTGTTTAATTTTTTTTTAAATACTTTATACACAGAAATGTCAACACAGTTTTTTCTGATTTTGGGTTTATAGCCATGTAGCCAAACTCAAAGAGAACATCACGGACGCGACAAAAATATCTTTTCCCTAAGCTAATTCCTAAGAGAACATCACTGATAAAAAACGAAAAACAAGAAAAACCAACAATAAAAAACCAAAACTAACATGGGATGTAAAATAAGGCTACACATTTCATGTCCAGGAGTCCTTCAGGACTTTGTTAATTATTACATACTGGGTAGCACTACGGAAAGGAGGAAAAATATTAAAAGAGTACGAGAAAACAGAGGATACGGAAGCTAACCTAATCTATAGTTTCGTTTTAGACGCTTCCAGAAATGAGATTAAGGCGTCGAACATATTTCTGCCGTCGCGGTCGGTCGGCTCATTTACACCACTTCTTAAAAACATTATATTCCGTCCCTGGTTACGTAACGAGGCAGATATCTGAGTCAAAGTTTTCAAAATATAGATACTTATACTGCGGAATAAGCTCCGCTTTTTGCGCATTTTCACGGCTCATGAGGTTTTGATTCACCTCCAATATGAATGTCCTCATTTCAATCTCATAATCGTTATGTATCTTCTCGAGACATTATAATTTTCATGTCGTTGGGGTTTTTGGGTGAATTAGGTTGTATCTAGTAGTAAAACAGAATTTATTTTGCTTGGCCAAATGGTCTAACTTTTCTTTATCTATAAGTCCTATATGAGCTTACTACACAAGCATTGACGAACGTACCTTCTGGTGATTGGCTTTGGTAGCCGACGTTATATACATAACTCGTAGTTAAGCGGTAACAACACATGCCTCTCACTCCTGAGACCCGGGTTCGATCCTCGGTGGAGGAGCTGGGAGTATGCTCGGATTTGATGGGTGTCCGTTGTCTGTAAATCTGTAACCCCTTTCCGCACAAGGTACCTAGAGGCAATTTTAGGGATTCAGGGGGTTGTATTTGTAAGGCCCGATTTGAACCCGGACGGCCAGGGTGGAACGACGGACTACTGCAAAATAATCAATTTTGAATCGTACGTATAAACCATTAAATTGTTTATTTTACAACTGCTGTGGTCTGTAACAGACCAGAGTGGTAATTTATTACTCTGTTTCAGTCCTGTCTATGTATGAGATATAAAAGTTAAATATAATACTACTTTTTTAATAGCGTTTGCCATCAAATCAATTTCAATTGCAATTAAAAGTTTCATCATTAAATATTTCCCAAGGCGTCATTAAATGCATTTTACAACCATATAATCAAAATACCAGTTTAACTTTGAGGATACCAATAAAAATAAAATAATAACCCATCATTCTTAACAAGGAAATACTTGTTTTGTAGAAGTAAAAACTGAAGCTTTATGTATACCAAAATGTACAACGCTGACGGAAAGAAATATCCATAATAAACCCAGCGGAGTGTCCCTTAACCAGAATATTTGAATACATTAAAATAAATTTAAATCTTTTCGATTCATGAGGGAGCGTCACTGAATTTTGATGTGTTTTGTTCTTTAAAGTGATAGTACGTTGGATAAACTTTATTTTATTTTTACGATTAATATTTTTTAAGGATTCAAATCTTATATACACGCTTCATTTTTTTGTGTTAAACGATATGACCGATTGCTTATTTGAGGAGCTTATTTTCAAAATGCAATTTTTGAAAACAACTTTTTTAGGAGTAATTGTATAATTTTCTAAAACTAAAAGAATACGTCCTCAATATTTATCATGTATATTAAGCTACAGATATTGCATTTTGCTAACATAAATATATGGTTTTTAAAAGAGTTAATTAAAACAAGCTAAATGACATATATGCATTGCATTTTGAAAATAAGCTCCTTATTTAAACTTATTTTATTCACATCACGAAATGCCAATCCATTGCGATTTGAGAAAAAGTTTACTAAATGAAGATATTTAAAAAAAAAGATATCTGTGCGTGCGTGTGTGATCAATTTTATGAACCATTTTTAACAATTTGTTTTTACTTTTTATTGAAAATTGAAGAAGTTTTAAAAACAGGAAATTACGGTAAGTATTCCTTGTACTTAGAATACAATTTCTTTTTTAACAACGCTGCTTTTTTTAAAATAAACGGTTGAATAAGTGGTTGAATTTATTTTATTTAATAGTGACTGAATTTGACGAATACAGTAAAGGTACATTTACAACCAATTCGGTATGGGCACAATCTGCTGGTGGATTGTAAATTGGGTTTTAAGCATATCTGGTTGAATGTATTTGTTTACAATAAAATTTTAAGTCGGCACGACCTTGAATTGCACTTCAGGTTTGAATTGGATGCTTGCAAATCGCAAATATTCAATTCAATTTCGGCAGGAATTTCAAATTGCGCATGCGTACTATGACACAAATTTATTGTTTATATTTAAAGTCGGTCTGTGATTTGAAATTGGAAGATTAGATCTTTTAGTATTAGAAAATATGATGTTTTTAGAAGTTATGTTAATATAATCGTAATTATTTAATCAAACCCAATTTGCACACACGTAATATTAAAAAATCTCAACAGATGGCAGCTTCCAACTCATTATAAATGACCTAAATTTTATCTCGGCACAATTCACAATCCGTCAGTAAATTGTGCCTGTAGCGAATTGGTTGTAAATGTACCTTAATGTCCAAGTGCTTATCCCTCGCCCGTACGAAAAGCGTCAGGTGATTATCCTAAAAACATTGTACTTAAACAAAAACAACTATAATAAAAAAAGTATTTAGATCAATAAACGTCTAAGTACTTTAAATGATCGGAGAGCATTGATATCCATGTCGGCTTTCGGAAACGGAGCAAGCTTATTATTGAAAGTGATGTATAAGCCTGGCCAAGGTCATTAATTCTTCAGAGACGTACTGGGTATGCATCATATCATAATACTTGAATAAGTACAATAATAAAAACAAAAATATTTTATATATTGTGATGTATGTTTTTGTACTATTTCGTTCGCTTTAAATTCCTTTTTATGTATTTCCTTATATTTTGTAAACTTAGTGCTGCACATTATTATTAAACTGTTAAATGACGTTCACACATGTACATTGTAGATCTAAGTGATAACTAATAATAAATAAATAAATAAATAAAATAAATGGAAATAAATTTTATTAATACTGGTACAATTTATAAAAATATGTGCAAAAGTCACCTTCTCAAGCAGATTTATGAAGTAGCTTGGTTGTCGTTATCACAAACTGGAGCACTTCTAAAATAACTGTGTAGCATCAGATATGTTTCTACAGTTGTCTCAGTAAGCGATATTCGCTGTTGTGAAAAAATATGTTTGTAATTTGAAAAAGACCGTTCGACATCTACGGAAGTCAAACAGGCATAAGTAAAACACTCTATGAACTCACTTAACGCAGCTGTAGATGCACCATCACAAATTTGTCTTAATTTGGTAAAATCAGGATCTTTCCGTAATACACTCTCGAATTTTTCAATAACGGGCTTATTTTTTGCGTCATTTATAGTCTGTAGCTATGTATTTACGTCGTCCACTATTTGCAGCGATTCCACTAACGACAACGAAGTATTTAGCAATTTTTCTATTGCGTCGTGTAGTCCTCTATAATTGTTATAAATAGTTTTTAAATCTGTTTCAAGGGAAACATCTTGAAAGCTTGTCTGGCTTTCCTTAATAGCTGCAGCCTCGTTAGGGTTGAACTGTAGCATCACAGCTTCTATTTGTTGAAAATACTCAGCATAATAAAAAGCTGCCTTCGTGGTTCCCCAACGTGTAAGAATCGTCTCTGGTGGTTCCAGAATACCAGGACACAGTGTGTGAAATGCTCGAAGCCGTTCAGGAATTTTGAGAAATACTTTGCTATTAATGCATCTACCTCTGGAAAACATTTTCGAATTGTTTCTGCTACAAGATGGAACGCATGCACTTTACACGTAACATGTAAAAACCTACAATCGTCTCTTTGAAGAAAACGGCCCACCAAACGCATTGTCGTAGCACCGTCGGTCACAAACATCAACATTTGACTTGTTGATAGTTCAAATTTTTCGAAAGTCTCCAACACCACCCGCGTAATTGTTTCGCCAGTACACGCAGTTAGTCTTTTGCTAGCTAGTAAAAGTGGAAATGTTGGTTTAACAGGGTCGAGTACACGTACTATAACATTTAAAATAGATTTTTTTTTACAATCTGTCGTCTCGTCAACACATAACCACAGCCGCGTATTTTTTAATGCACATTTAATCCCATTTACAATGTCTGCACAAACACTTGGTACATATCTACGTAACGATGAACGACTTGGTAAATTCACCTGGGGATTGTATTTATTCCAGAACTCCCGAAATGCTGGTTTATCCAATATGCGCAGGGGAACATCACAGGCAATCAGCATTAACAGTAAATCAAACATAAACTGAGGTTCCAAAGAAGATACACCATTTTTTTTATTTTTATGCCGGTTACTATTGACATGAATTTTGCAGCCGTATTTATTCCAGCACATTAAGTCTTGATCACAAACCTTGCAAATTATTTTACATCCATTGTAGAATAAATCCGGAAATTCACCTATAAATTTTTTCACTTTATCAGCGTACGATGGTTTTCTACTCTTTACGCTCAACATTATTTATTATTTATTAGTACTCTATGCATCGACCGACTGATAACAACTGAAGTGTGTCGTGTCATCGTCATCGTAAACAAGCGCGCGATGGCATTGGTATTGCGCCCGACCCTGAATCTACCATCGCTTGGCCAGGCTTAGTGATGTATCATTTTAATACCATTAAATTATCCTGTTTTAATAATAAACTTAGTCCTTATCGCCTCATGTAACACATATATACCAGCGCCCTCCGGTCATTTAAAGTAGACGAAGCTATACCTATAAAAATACAAAATCCGCTATTAATTTTAATAAATATTAATAGCGGATATTGTATTTATTACCGTTTAATAACGATGATAAACGATAAAAAATGTGTATCTAATTATAACTATTCTGCAGATTTTTGTAATAACTGGTTCACAATCCTTAGAGACGAGATAAATAGAAACAATATCAATATAACTAGACACAGGACAATTTCCGTGCATGCAGGGCCGGCACATGGGTTAAGAGACAATAATAATCAGCCTGGCAGCTTTTGCTCATACATTATGTCCCAGGATAGATGTGACAAGATATGTAATGGGAAAAAAATTGTCGAATTTTGGAATGGCACTAGGGGATTCAGCCCTACTTGAGTTGATCTGTGTAATTTTGCAATTCAATTTATAAAAATCGTCACTAATAAACTACCTTTATTTATCAAGATATGACAAAGTTTCAACAGAAAAAAGTTGTTTAGGATGCAATTTGTGCCTCCTTATTAAATTTCAGAAATATAAATTTACTTTGTTGGAACTGCCCCTTTTTCAATAAATTAGTATATTATTTCGAATTTTTGAAAATCATTTTTGCAAGTTGAGTGTGTTCTGAAATCATAAATATCTTTTCTAAAATAAATTAGTATTACAAATAACATTTGTTCTTAACATATTATCTTATTTTCAACAAAAAAATGATTACTAGTAAAAAAGTGGTAGTTCCAACAAAGTAAATTTATATTCCTAAAGTTTGTAAGTAGATACACATTGCATTCTAAACAACTTTTTTTAGTGGAATTTTTTCGTATATTGAAAAATAAAGATATTTAGTGATGATTCTTATAAACTGACCTATAAAACACCCTGTATAACATCGATTCAACTTGCTTTTGATATATCATACCATACACCTAGTAGGACTGATTCTCGAGGTGCCATTCCCAAATCGATTTCTTTTTGGTCTGTTACACTATTGTTCTATC